TTCCGTACGGACTCGTCGATTCACTGTTCGGACTCGCCGATTCCGTACAGTGAATCGGCGATTCACTGTACAGAATCATCCGGTTCTCTCTAGAACCGGACGATTTCCGATTTTTTAGACGATCCGATCCCCTTTTCACGATTTTCGAGTCGAATCGGGCGAGTCCGATTCGACACGGCGTTTTTTAAAACATTGCTAGGTAGTATTGTCCTGATTCAGGATCCTCTAGGTGGACCCCTTCAAAGAAATGTGTTGGTTTGAACATTAACAAAGAGATATTTTAATTAATTTAAGTGGGGGCACACCAAGTCCGACTCACCAACCTCCACGTTGAAATTGAATGGAGCAGCCTGTGTCTTGGTTCCTCGCACTACTGAGGAGGTGCGCACAACCAAAGCACAAGATAGAGAGAGAGAGAGAGGATGCCTAATTTTTTAGAGAGAGAGAGAGACCAATTTAAGATGAAGGAAAATGGAAGGGGTTGGTGTGGAGAGCGGCACGAGTGGAAGGGGTAGGTAAGGTCGAGCTGGCCACCTTCCATTTACTTTTACATCTCTTTATGTTTTTTTTTTAAGTTTTATATCTGAGTAATCGTTGTGAATTCAATCATCCCGAAAGATATTCTACCCACTCCCGAATATACTCTATATTTAGTAGTTATGTAAAACCCAACCAGGAATTGATTTTAGAAAAAAGTTGCAACCTTATAATGTAGAACTATGATGCACCTCAAAAATCTTTCAAAAAAGATGGTTTTAATATTGAAAAATCCTTTGATTGATCATCTCGACATCGAGATGTATGACCATGAAAAATAAAAAGATTTTAAGTCTCAATGCATTTTACAACATATTATCTATACCGTCTATTTTCAAGATTTTCGTATGTTTATAGATCTACTTGATTTTTATCATTTTTCAAATTTAAACTTTTATAATTAGATATGGAAATAAATTTTGAGATAATCCTAAGAACATTTTACATCAAAATTGTATACCATAATAAAATTTGAAGGTGCACCTTACCTCTATAGCTACAGATGCATCCGTATACCAACTGCACCCTCAATTTTAAGACCCTAAAATTTAGGGATCTAACCTTTTTAACACATAGTCAATAAAAAATTCTCCTAATTGGCCCTCTAAGCCCTTTAAAAAATAGGGATAATCTAAAATTCTCAACCCTTCAAATTTCAAACATAAAATGGGTTGTGAATAATTGATTTACTAACTTTGTGGTTTATTTAAAAAATAATAATACTTTTTTGTGATATATTTTTCATTAAGTAATGGTAACTTTGAAAATGTAACTACATGACAAGAGGTACTTTTGTTATCTCTAAAAAAGTAAAGTTGAAATTTTTATTAAAAGACAATAACATTCTACCAATAAAGTTTTAAGACACTAACTTCCAAAATACCAAAAACTTTAATACTGCACTTGCTTAATGGCTAAATTAGCTATTAAATAATTTTTAACTTTTGTATTTTGAAAGGCTGTTAATTCTAGACAAATCCAAAAAAATAATGTCTCCAGATTAAGTAAAAACTATCCAATTTTTAGAAGATGAGATCTAAGTAGTAGAAAACTCAAATTACAATTCTCTTTTCCTTTAAAAATAATCATCTAATAATTCTTAGGATGTTCCCAAAATTTGAGATTGAAAAAATCTCCCAAATAGGCCATTTAACAAAGAGAGTAGAAATAAACTATACTCCCTAACGAGTCATTTAACTAAGGGAGTAGAAGTAAACATACTCCCTAAGGAGCATAGTATACGCGCTCTTCAATTATTTTTCTGCCTAACTTCTGGTGTTAATATTCTGCATTTCCAAATTCCAATTTTTGCAAACATTATAATTGAATATAAGGTTAACATATGGCATTGTGCAGTGTAGCCGATTAAACAAATTGTGGATCATTTTTTCACCGAATTCTCTCCTTTGCCCGTTTGGGCTTTTTTCTTGCTGACTCATCAGTTCTTAAATCTAAATTTCTTGGAGTCATTCTTAGATAGCAGGAGTAAAAGTTACTTGAAATTATTATGGAAAAAGTTAATATAAGTAGTTGGTGTGATTATTACTTTACTTACTGGTAATTAAGGGATTAGGTGTACTCAAAGAAGACTTATTTTTCTGGTTTTTTCTCTTGACCAGAATGGAGGGCTCCAACCACCACCACCAAACCTCTATTTCTGCCCTGCTCCCTCATTTCACCTATAAATAAACCTCCTCCTCCTCCACCATTCAACTCTGGGCTTCTTCTCCTAATCAAAAAAACGATTCTAGATAGAGAGAAAGGCTGAGGAGGAGGAATTGAGAGTTACATTCCTTTGAAGAGAGAGAAAGAAACTTAAGGACTAAGGAGGACTGAGAAAGAGTAAGAAAACGAGAATGGCTTTGGCAGGATCTTCATTCTCCGGCACCTCTCTCATCCATTCTTCTTCATCTCAAGGAGAGAATCAGAGAGGCCTCATCTTTGCTGCCGAGTCGTTGGGTCTGAGCACCATCCCGAAGCGAAGCTCGAAGCAAAAGGCGATCTCGGCTGTCCATGCCGCAGAACCTCTCAAAGCACCGCAGAAACCAGCGGAGAAAGCATCGAAGGCCGCTCCTCTGAGATGGAGCCCTGATAGCTGGAGGAGCAAGAAAGCTCTTCAACTGCCAGAGTACCCTAACAAAGAGGAGCTCGACTCTGTTCTCAATACCCTTGAGTCTTTCCCCCCGATTGTTTTTGCGGGAGAGGCTAGGCACTTGGAAGAGAAGTTGGCCGAGGCGGCTATGGGAAGGGCTTTCCTTCTACAGGGTGGGGATTGTGCAGAGAGCTTTAAGGAGTTCAACGCCAACAACATCAGGGATACCTTCAGGATATTGCTTCAGATGGGGGTTGTTCTGATGTTCGGAGGCCAGATGCCTGTCATCAAGGTGCTTAATTCATGATATCCCTCTCTCTCTCATACATACATGATATACCCTGTATTTTATTTTGTATTCACAAAAATGGTTTTCTCTCTGGTCTATGTAGGTGGGACGAATGGCAGGACAGTTTGCGAAACCTAGATCAGATCCTTTCGAGGAGAAGAACGGGTTGAAGCTTCCAAGTTACAGAGGAGACAACATTAATGGAGATGCGTTCGATGAGAAATCGAGGATCCCTGACCCACAGAGGATGATCAGGGCTTACTGCCAGGCGGCGGCCACCCTGAACCTCCTCAGGGCCTTCGCCACCGGTGGTTATGCCGCAATGCAGAGGGTCACTCAGTGGAATCTCGATTTCACCGAGCACAGTGAGCAAGGAGACAGGTTTGTCCCTCTTTGTCTTTAATTCAAATTCCCATCAGATTTGCGTTCAAATCTGGTTTCTGAAAATTAGGGTTTGGTGGGTGGCATGAGCAGGTATAGGGAGCTTGCGAACAGGGTTGATGAAGCCCTTGGTTTCATGACGGCTGCGGGGTTAACGGTGGACCATCCGATTATGACGACCACCGAATTTTGGACGTCGCACGAGTGCCTGCTTCTGCCATACGAGCAGGCTCTCACCAGAAAGGATTCAACCTCGGGCCGCTACTACGACTGCTCGGCCCACATGCTTTGGGCCGGTGAGCGCACCCGCCAGCTCGACGGCGCCCACGTCGAGTTCTTGCGTGGCGTCGCTAACCCGCTCGGCATCAAGGTAACCTAGTTTCTCTCTCTAGATTAACTCTCTCTCCAAATCAAATATTCCTAGTTTCTCTCTCTAGAGTTGGAGTTTTGGGTTTTTAAGCAGAAAAGCGTTGTGCAGGTGAGTGATAAGATGGATCCGAATGAGCTGGTGAAGCTGTGTGAGATACTGAACCCGGAGAACAAGGCAGGAAGGATAACTGTGGTAACGAGAATGGGGGCTGAGAATATGAGGGTGAAGCTCCCTCACCTCATCAGGGCGGTGCGCAGAGCGGGTCTGGTGGTCACTTGGGTCAGCGACCCCATGCACGGAAACACCATCAAAGCTCCATGCGGCCTCAAGACTCGCCCCTTCGACTCCATCCGAGTATGCTCTCTCTCTCTCTCTCGGCTTTTGGAAATTTCTTTTCTTTTTCTTTCTATTCAAACCACACAATTTTTGTCCTCTCTGTCTCTAACCTAGTCTTCTGAAATAAGCTTGACCTGTAAAAATTATAAAAGACCTGCACTAGTAAAAAATTTGATGAGTTTGGTAGTGGTTGCATATTTTTTAACACATAGCGGCGACGAGCTGGACCTGGTCAACCTTGGCCATGGCCGAGCTTTTGTCCTTATAGGGCTAACTAGCCAAAAATTAATGAAGAAAAAATAAAATAAAAAACATGAAAAAAAGGGCATACTTCCCGGGCCAAATAATGGGGCTGTTGCCACTTTTAAGGCCAGGCGATCAGCCGGGCTCGGCCCAGCCACCAATTGCCAGCGACCCATTCTCTCTTTTTTTTTTTTGGGAAAACTTTCTATGTTCCCCCAGCAACATAGAAGTTTTATGTTTCCCCTACTATCCAGCCATCTATTTTTTATCAAGAGAGCCACCCACCGTTTGATCTTAGATCCAACGTTTCAAAGTAATTTATTTTTAGTTTTTTTAGTAAAATTTTTTTGAATATGACATTTGGTGCATGCCATCTTTTTATTGGGGCGCACCTATAAAAAATATTAACAATAATATTTCGATAAAAAATATTAACCAAAATAAGCCTTAAAATTTTTAAGGGTATTTTAGTCATTTTATTTTATTGAAAATATTTTTTTTATATTTTTCGTTAGTGCCCTTCTAATATAGGAACGGATGTCCAAAATTTGGTGTCAAAACAGTTTATAAAAACAAAATTAAAAATAAAACATTGTAGAGGCATGATATTGTGATTGGATCAATCTTAGCCCTCCATTAAAAAATGGATGGTTGGCGGTTAGATAAGGGAGAACATAGAACTTCTATGTTGTAGGAGAAATCTTTCCTTTTTTTTCCTTTTGAATCTTACAATTTATTAAACCTCTTAGGTCAGTTTGGTTCGTGTGAAAATGTTTTTACATGAAAATATTCTTTGCCAAGGAATGCTTTTAGTTATCAATTAGAAGATATTTTCATACGAACCAAACTTGTTAGTAAAAAAGTTTTTTTTTTTATAAAAAGAGAGAGAAAATACAAAATTTATAAAAAAAACCTTAAAAAACAAACATCTTCTCGAGGTTACACGTGACCTAAAAAGGCATTGTTAACTTCAAGTTGATTAAGGGACCATTGCTTGATGGAGCCAAGAGATAATAAGCATCGAACAATAACCAATTTGGCGACGGGGCGAAAGTCTAGTTAAGAGTGATTTGCTTTGGCTTGGTGGCCTGGCTAGTACTCTTGGGCAATTATCTGATCAACCATCGTTTTTCCCTATTTATATGTTTTGTTTTTTTTGGAAAGTTTTATTATGTTTGGTGTGGATTAATATGTAGATAAAAAGAAGGAAAAAGCTAACAATAACTGGACAACTATAATGAATAGTAATATAAATAAAATTTTAATCTTCATATCTTTATTATATGGTTCAGAATGTATATCATTATATGAATTTTAATATTGTTTTTAAAAATCGGATCATAATGAAATTTTAGACGTGTGTATTAAAAACTAGGCCGTATAATTAAAAAATATATAAAATAATATTTTTTAAAATATAAAATGATCGAAATACCTTTAAAAAATGACGAGGGTAATTTGGTCATTTTTTATTATTGAAAATAATTTTTTTATATTTTTATATGGTGCGCAATAGGATTAAGTATATATACTGAAAATTTCATCTTAATCAAATTTATAAAAAAAAATTAAAATGCATATAGTGATATACATTTTGAACCATATGGCGAAAATCACGGTAGGAATTTTGCCTATATTACTATTGAAATGTTTACTCTAAAGATATTACAAGTGTTATCACCCCTTGCTTCAAGGGATGGACGATCCTAGAGAAGGTGGATATATCAGTTGGGTTCAATCAGGTTTTGCTACCCTGGCTCTCCATCTCCGTCCATCCATTCCCTTTTTCTAACGATTTCTAACCGGAGGACGATGGACCTTATTACTTCTATAGTCTATGGATCACAGCACGTCCAACAATAAAACTGAGTTCTAGTGGACCTTAGACGAATTATTCCCGAATATCCCGCTATGGATCTCTTCACCATTAAATTCGAAAGGAAATGCTAAATCCATAACCTTTTCCTTGTTTTGCAAGTCCTGTAATTTTGTTAATTAAAGAGGTCAAAAGAAGATCTAATTAACAACGCTATAATGAAACCTCTCATAATTGATTTTCTTTGTTTTGGTAAATAGAGATTTAGGCCATTAGCCTTTTAGTCGTCAATGCCTCGTAACATTCTTAATATAATTATTAGAACTAAAAATTGATGTTGGGAAGTGGTGATTTGACAGGCTGAAGTTCGAGCTTTCTTCGACGTGCACGACCAAGAGGGGAGCCACCCAGGAGGTGTTCACCTAGAGATGACCGGTCAGAACGTGACGGAGTGCATCGGCGGTTCGAGGACTGTGACCTTTGATGACCTCTCTTCTCGCTACCACACCCATTGTGACCCACGCCTCAATGCCTCTCAGTCTCTCGAGCTCGCGTTTATCATTGCCGAGCGCCTCCGTCGCCGCAGGATCGACTCCACGCCTCTACCTCTCTAGAAATCCTACATATCACCCACTCTTCTCTTTTTATCATCAGCACATTCCTTCACCCCTCCTTTGTCTCCCTCTCTCTTGTTCTCATTGGGTTTCATCTCTCCCTTATTTGTTATTGCGAATTACACAAGACCTTATCAATTCTCCCTCCTCTTCCCTCTCTCTTTTCATTAGGTTCCTTTGAGACCTTGAATCATAAACTCTTATTTCTCTCTCTTTTGTTTTTGTTGTGTCAAAGGGCCCTTCTTTGATCCTTTGCACCATTGTTTCCTCTGCGCTACCAATGTTGTATATATATTTATTAGAGAGAGCCACAAAAGTGGAATAGGTTGTTTTTGCATGATTAAACTCCGTTTAAAAGTTATATAATAAAATAATCCTTGGTCGTGAATGTAAGCCAAGGGAGAATAGTTTGTATGAGTCCGCCACTCATCTATTGCTATGAGATTATTTGTTTTTTATATGGGTGTGGTTTGTATAAGGTTGCATCTTTTAACAAACAAATTAAGGTGCACCTCCAAACTTTGTCAAGTGTTGTAATTTTGGTTAAAAATAGTTTTAGAATAATGTGATAATTTAATTCTATTTCTAATTTTAAAACTTTAATTTTAAAAATGGTTCAAATCAAACAGATCTATAAACACATGATAATATTGAAAATGGATAGTTCAAATTATGTGTTGCAAGATATATTATTTTTAGAACTTGATATCTTTTTTCATTTATATATAGACATCTTGATGTTGAGATGATCAATTAGATGTTTTTTCAAATTCAAAGCAACATTATTTGAAAGATTTTAAAGGTACACCTTAATTCTTTATTTTAAGGTGTCAACTTTATATACTTTTGACATACCAGTGACTCATTTTAAATTCACAAATTTTAGGTATTGACAATAGGTAATGAATGTGATTGTTTAAAAAAAGAGTATTTATTTTTGGGAAAATATCTCTATACCTTTTATTTTTACGTTTCATTTCACAATAGACCCAAGGTTTTAAAAGATATCTTGGGACATAAAATTTGTAGATTTTATTTCTTCTAACTCTTGAGTTAATTTAAACCTGTTTTTTTAGGCCAAACAAATCTAAAATGACATGCTTTTTTTTAAAAGTTATCATCTCAAATTTCTAGAGAGAGAGAGAGAGAGAGAGAGAGAGAGAGAGAGAGAGAGAAAGGCTTCATGGAGGTGAGAAATTACCGGGAGGAGAGAGAAAGAGGTTTTTGGAGAAACACGGGAGGAGAGAGAAAGAGGAGAGAGAAAGAGGTGTCTGGAGAAACATGGGAGGAGAGAGAAGAGAGTCAGAGATGTAGGAAGAGAGAGAATTAGAGAAGTTTGGGATATATAAGTAGGAAGAGAGAGAAATAGAGAAGTTTGGGATATATAAGTGAAGAGAGATAAATGATTCGGTTTAAAAAGAGCATGTGTTTCTCACATTTGTTTAGGTTAAAAAATAAATTTAAAGTGGTCATGGGATTAGAAGATATCTTTTAAAACATTGGATTTATCAAAAAATGAAAAACTTAAAAATATGGGATATGGAGATATTTTCTTTTTATTTTTTTTAAACTGCTGTGGTGGTGGGATCAACACCATCTAACATAAATCTTTGAGATAGTTTTTAATTGAGGGAACACACATCTACATACTTATAGCAATCGGGTTTGGGCTTAAGTTGTTAGTAGTTGATGCCAAGCAACACTAAGTGTCATGCTCAAATCCTACCAATGAACTACCCAAAGAAAAATATCTATATATATCCCCTAACGTGTTGACATGTATGGCTATGAGACCTCATGTGATTTAGCCTACAATTGTGGGCTTAGACGAATCTAATTATCCATAATTATCTCCAATGTTCATATGGATGCGTTGGATGAAACTTTTTGGCTATGAGACCTCATGTGATTTAGCCTATAATTGTGGGCTTAGACAAATCTAATTATCCATAATTATCTCCAACGTTCATATGACCCAACGTTCATATGGATGTATTGGATGAAACTTTTTCTCATAGACTCGTTGGAGAAATATAATTGTTAGCCCTTCTTCTCGCTATAAAAATGGGAAGCCAGAGAGAGGAAGACACAACAAGAAAAAGGTGTACAGTTCTCTTCTCTCTTTCAAGAAAAAAAAAAGAAATTACCAGCCTCATGGCATCCCTCCTCTCTGATATCGGGTTTGGTCTCATCCACGCTCTATCAATATTTACTAACATTGGTATCAGAGCAATCAGGTTCCATCTTCCTTATTTGTACTCCAAATTTTTTTTTGAACGATAGAGCTTATGTGATTTGTTTGTTATGATTTATGCCCATTTTTTTGTGTATAAATTGTGCTCCAATATATTACTCGATGCTATCTTATCTTAGTTCACAATGTTAATTAAAGGATAAGTATCGTGCCCTTCATGTGTATTAATCAATTCCAAATCACCTCTATCCCATTTTAGATTATGGGTTTGGTTTAATATTTGAATTGTGAGGGTAATTTTTGCCTTGTCAGATAAGTTGTGGTATGGATATATGGTACAGTGATATGGGATTGACTACCTAGTTTTAGTTGATCACTTTAATTTTCTCTCTACAACATCCACAAAAATAGTTGTTTGTTGCTTATTGTACTCTCTCTCTCTCTCTCCCTTTGATCTAAATCCAATATAAAACGTTTTTTTTTAAAGTGTGTTTGAAGGGTCTAAGAAGAGTTTTGGATAACTCAATGTTAGAGGAGGCACATACCACAAGACGCTCTCTCTCATCAATCAATATCAAGAAGAATAAAAATATTTGTGTCAGCCCATCATAAACCTTTTAGCCCACGTGTTCTCTCTCCAAACTTTGTTGCCTACCCACGAACCGTTGTGCTCGCTTCGATAAATAAATAAAAAAAAAGGAGAAAAAGACAGAGGAAGCTCTGCTGCCTGCTAGTTGTTGTGCATATCTTCATTAAAAACATATAACGTCTGTGTTATGCTTTATCTCCTACTTCTAAGTGTTGATTTTGGTGCGGGTCCATTATTTTATATTGTCTCTATCTAGTGGTCCCTAATGAGATAACAAATGACCTAAAGAATTCGATTTTACTCATTTCTTTTGTATTGTTGATATTTTTATTTTTTTTAATTTTTTTTTAAAAATAAATAGAAAAGGGGGTTGAATACATATTTTGCTATTTTGTTTCCTTATATATTGTTGATATTTCTATTAAAAAAAATTATGGAAGACTTACTTTGCTGATATTTGAATACAATTAATGCACTTACTGCCTTGGTGTGATATAGAAATTGATTTGTCTTCTAAAGTGAATCTCATATTTGATATTTTCTCTTCTATTATAAGGGATCACACACCCTTGATATTGCTCTTGGAACCCAAATAAATAAATATAAGGGGGAATTTTAGCTTTGATAATTGTGGTACTTACTCATAGAATGAGAGATTGCCAATTTCAATTTTTTTAAGGCATCACTTAATAACTGATATTATTTTATGAAATAATTGCAACTCTCTTTGTACAACAATTGACCACATATTAAATTTTTGGTCCCTTGTTTAGCTTCTTTAGAACTTAAAAAGTATTAGGTTGCTTGCACAAAACTTAGCAAATGACTAGTAGAATTGTAATGGCCGAACTTTCTAGAGTTGAAAAATTGAATGGAACCAATTTTGGCATGTGGAAGAGGAAGATGAAGTATCTCCTCATCCAAGATAAAATAAACCAATTAAGGTTTGGTGATAAACCAATTAAAGAAGAAAAGAAAAAGTTTTATGTTGACTTTTATGCAAGATGACCTTATTAAGGTTTTCAAACATTATGAAACATCTAAGAAAATGCTGGAGGCAATAAAAACTAAATATGACTCAACCATTGAAACACACATCCAATTGCTGTTAGAGCAATATAACTCATTTAAAATGAATGAGGGTAATAATGTAGTGGAACATGTAAACAAGATGCTTGTTATGGCTAAGGACTTAGCCATTGCGACGAATGAAGTACTCGAGTGCATGCAAGTTTCCACTATCTTAAATAGCCTTCCACTTTCATGGAGAATATTAACAATTGCACTTAGGTTGAATGTAAAATCTCTTACATTAGGGGACCTACCTATACAACTAGCCTTAGAGCAAGAGCACGTGAACAAAGATAAAAAGAATGAGCTCATGCTTGCTGAAGAACTTCCCAAATCTAGCCAACCCGAGCCTAATAACTAGAAATTTCAAGGGAAGTTTAATAAGAGGAATAATAGATTAAAAAACAGAGGAATTAAGCCATACAACCAAGAAACTAAACAAGGACCGCCAAAATGCTTTGTATGTGGTCAGCCAGGTCACTTCAAGAACCGCTTCCCACATAATAGAAACCCGCAATAACCAAAGAATAGTGAAAATGAAAGAAAGATGCATGACGTTATTTGTGTAGTTTCTGAGTACCTAATGACAGACTACGACATCAAAGGATGGTGGGAAGACTCGAACGCTAATCTACACATTGCAACCTCAAAAGGCCTCTTCGAGAACTTCAAAGAAATAAAAGCTGGGGAGAAACACATCTACATGGGGAACAATATCTATTATGATGTATTAGGTGTAGAAACTTGTAGGTTGTATGTAGGGATAATCAACCTTATATTAACTGACGTATATTTTGTCCCTTGTATGAGACGAAATATTATATGTGTCCCCTTGCTTATTAGAAAGGGCTTTGAAGTCCACATTCGATTGTAGACACCATTTTAAATATGGTAAATGCTGTGATTTTCTAAACTCTTAGGACCACATTATCCTAGTAAACTCAAATCTATAGCCCACACAGTCTGCCCTGTGACCCAGAACCATTTTGCTTACCTGAAACCCTGCGGATACCCTGTTTTGATCCAGAATCTACAAATGCCTTGCTTTACCAAGAAAATCATTAAAAATAGTAGAAAAATCGTTTTTGACCTAAATATTCGTTGAGAGCTTCATAAGAGGCCGAGGTACACACCTGAACTGAAAATTTCCAATTTCGGTAAGTTTTGGCTTGGGTGACACACCTAGTGTCGCCCAACCCAGATTAGGCAACACTCTTTGTGCCGCCCACCAGACTAAGCGACACACACAGTGTCGCCCAGGCGACACACTGTGTGTTACCCAACCCAGTTTGACCCAAAATCTTCATTTTTTGATAGGACAACCCAGAGATCAGTGTTGAGCAGGAATCTGCCATTTTGGGTAGATCTGGTTTGGGCTGCACACCTTGTGTCGCCCAGCCTAGACAGATCCAAATTGGACAGTTTTTGGCAGGCAACATCTTGATAACCCCAGTATCTAGCCTGCACTTGAAATCAACCAGTCTTGACTTGGGCGACACACTGTGTGTTGCCTAGCTTTGACAACCTGGAAATGGCAGTTTCCGCATGCCAGAGGTCCCCCCAACTGTTTTAGATCAAATTTTCTGAATTTGACCAATTTTGGC